GGGGGGGAGGGAGAGAGAGAGGGAGTGGTGCAGTTGCAAATAAAAAAAGACTGGCGAAGTTTGAGGGACAGACAATCGGAGGCACAGTTTAGAACAGCATAACCCGAGCGACAGCAACAGCGAAAGGGGAACGACACAAAGGGGCAAGAGACACGGACGGACGGAGAGAGAGAGAAAAAGTAACAGCAGATCGCGAGGCAAACGCAATCAAATAAACATTGGCAGGTAGATACTCCCTCGCGGTGACAGGCCGTTGCTTACGGAAGGCAAGAACAGGACATACTGCAAAATTTATTGCCTCCCATGCTTAAAATCCTTTTGGGGCATCCCAATAGGAAGATATCGGCGGATACAAGAGGCGGAACGAAACCAAAAGGAGACAGAGAACAGTCGACGCAGAAAAACCGCTGGGGGAACAGGCCTGCCTTGGACCAACCCTTGCCCGCAAAAAACAACTCGCCGACAGTACAAACTTCATGGTTCCACCCGTCCGCCTTTCTAGCTGCCGCCCTCGCCTTCGTCGCCACGCGTCTACTACACCCCGCTTTCGAGCGTCGCGGTACAGTAGTCGTCTCTAGATGTGGCATTCCTCCCCACGCCGACGACATCGCAACACAAAAAACAAATAAATAAACAAACTAATAAAAGACAGTCAGACACATCACAACTCACGTCGTCTCGGATAAAGTCGGTGCAGGTGGCCGTCACGGCGAGCACGGGCACGTGCGCGAACTGTCGCTTGAGGATGCCCAGCTTGCAGTACTCCGGCCGGAAGTCGTGCCCCCACTAATGTAGTATTGTAGTATTACAGTGGTTGGTTCGCGATATTGTCGGGGAGAAGACGGCCGCAGACCAAAGGATCGCCGCCCAACCACGACACAAAAGGCACACACCAACAGTAGCATAGAGTACGGGACGGGCAAATAGTTGTTACAACGGTAGCGACCATGGGGGGCAACGCAGGAGGGAGGGAGAAGGGGTTGCAAACAGGCAAGAGGCCAGAAGCGACAGTCCGGGCGCCCAGTAAGTAGCACGTGCGCGCCTGTAAGATTACCGGGAAAGTGCGGGCGAACTCACACGTGTGCGTTCGATCGACTGTGCAAGATTCATTGCTCCACAAAGAGGGACAAGTCACCTACGAAACGAGTGGTGGACCAGACGGAGGGCACGAAACCCCACCGCTACGTGCAAGAAAAGCTCGGCGGATCTTTCCGAAAAGACCTTCTTTGGCGTTGGCGGCCTAGATTGTTGGTTGTGGATCAATCGAGCTCCAAACAGCGATCGGTCTCACCCCTGTTGCGTTCGCCCGCACTTTTTACGGTACACGAAACGGCGTTTCATTTCCTACTCGACATCATGATCGCGATCCCACGGTTTGAGACAACCGGTTGCCCCGAAAGCGAAAGGACGTTTATGCCGACAAGGCCGATAGAAAAAGCACGCTTGGAAAATAGAGCGGGTGCCAGCTCGAAACCTCCTTGGGAGAACAACAAGGTGGGTGAGGGTGCACCAACATCAAGCGTGTGGGTACTTGAAAAGGGCTACGCGAAGACGCACGGTGTGTCTCTGTTGCACAGCACCGCCGTCTGTGGGAGGAAGCACGCGGTACATGTAGGCGTGTCATTTCGAAAACGCGTCCGTTTCCATCACAGCCGCATGTCTCAGCCAAGTACTGTAGATACCATGTTGTAGGTGTTGAGATCGATCGGCGATCTCTCCCCTTGCCTGCGAGCAGCAGTGCGCCTCGTCGATGACGATCCTGGCCAGCCGACCGTTCTTGGCGGTCTTGTCCAACGCTGCCATGAACATCTTCGACTTCACCACCTGTTGGACACGGGGGGCGTCGCCGTTGGACAGCAACAGCAGTGCGTCGGTTACCGCACACAGGTGGATGCGTTGGTGGACGATCAAGACGCGTGCTCTATTTCTTCTCTCAGGGAGTTGCGACCCTCCACCTGACAGACTAACCAACAAACAATCGAAACGCCGGTACCAACGAATGGACGAAACGGCACGAGTCACGGCATATTCCTATCTCCGCTCAACGTAATCGAGAAAGACGGCAACAAATTGGGGCAAAGTGTTGACGTGGAACGAAGAAATACGATGTGCTCGTGAACCAATCAAAGCTCGTTCCGACAAACTTGAGGCCGAACAGCCCGACGCGCTCTGCTGACTGGCTTTTATCACCTTCTCGGGAGTGACGAGAACCATCACCAGCCCGGTGCTCCCCTTGCCCTTGCCATCTCCTCCTCCTCCCCCCCCGCCGTAGCTGCAGCCGCCGCCGCCGCTTGTGTCGTCGCCCCGCATCTTCCGGTACACGTCATTGGCCTCCCTCTTGTCCATACCCGCAGACAGCATCGCGGCCGATCCGGGCACCAGGTCGTTGAGGTAACGTGTCTGATCTTCGATGAGAGATATCAAAGGCGACACCACTGTGTTGCATCCATAGACCCCGTAGAGGGGGGGGGGGGGGGGGGGGGGGGGGGGG